TTCCAACAAAAAATAAAAATAAGTAAAGCATTGCTAACATGCATGAAAATAAAATAAAAAAATAAACCAAAATATTTGCCTGAAAGGGAGTAGGAAGTAAGTAAGTAAGTAAGTAAGTTTTTATTTATATACCGCCTTTTCACTGCAGATCTGAGTCTCAAAGCGGTTTACAATTGTTAATTTTGGGCATTTGTCTCTCACTCCACACAGAGATGGGAGCGGGGTCGCCAGTACAGGAGGCACATGCCAGAACTATTGGACATATTTTTAGTGGTAGGGGAAACCGGAGTACCCGGAGGAAACCTACGCAGACACGGGGAGAACATGCAAACTCCACTCAGAAAGGCCCTGGTCCGACCGGGATTCGAACCCATTCGAACTCTTGCTGAGAGGCGAGAGTGCTATCCACTCAGCCACCGTGCCGCCCAATAAGAAGAAAGAAAAGAAGAAGAAAACTTATTTAATCCTACCCCCATAATATGTATACAACAAAAATGTGCTTCTTTGCGAGACAGGGCTATCAACAACTTTCGACTTCTGCACTATATTAACACAGAAAAGTTTGAGTATTCACATTGTGGAGTTACCATAGTAACGCATCAGAGTTACATATGACAACAGTAATACAGGACTAACAATGGTAAGAGACAATACAAGCAATGGTAAGAGACAATACCAGCAATGGTTAGAGACAATACCAGCAATGGTAACAGACAATACCAGCAATGGTAAGAGACAATACAAGCAATCGTAAGGGACAATACCAGCAATGGTAAGCGACAATACCAGCAATGGTAAGAGATAAAACCAGCAATGGTAAGGAATGACAAATACATGACACAAACACAATACAGAAGTACAGAACAATTAAGACCCACTCTCTATATATTGTGACCAGACCAGATGTTTGTATAAAAGTTTGAATCTGTGAATATTTTGGCATTGCTTGTGGTGTGCATCCAGACTGTTCCATAGTTTCACACCTCGTACAGATACACAAAAGCTTTTACGAGTAGTTCGAATTTTAGGTAGTGTGAAGTCTCTAAATCCTTTCAGATTATGGGCTTTTTCCCGAACTGAGAAAAGGTGTTGTAGATTAATAGGTAATGATTTGTTAAAAGCTTTATATAGGATTATAGTTGTATTGTATTTTACAAGATCATTAAATTTTAGTAACTTAGACTGGATAAACAATTCATGAGTGTGATCTAGAAACCCAACTTTGTGAATTATACGCACTGCTCGTTTCTGCAACAAGACTAATGGGTTTATAGTGTTCTGGTACGTGTTTCCCCACACTTCAACACAATAGTTAAAGTATGGGAGAACCAACGTACAGTATAATGTACGGAGTAAATTGAGACCGAGGTATAGTTTTACTTTATTTAGAATTGAAAGGCTTTTGGAGATTTTAGTTTTTATGTATCTGACGTGAGGTTTCCAGGACAATTTATTGTCGATTATAATTCCCAAGAATTTATTTTCATTCACATTTTCAATTTCGATACCGTCGATAAAGATTTTTGTGTCTGAATTAAATCTTAGGCTGCCAAACATCATTGATTTCGTTTTTTCTATATTGAAAAAACGAAATCCAATTGTAGACCATGTAGACCAATTATTCTACATTCAAATTGGTCTCTTGCTAAACAGTGAACATTCAATATTAATAATCTGAGCATGGTGACTCCTACTTGTCTCTGATTCACTCAGTGTCAGTAATATATTCTATTTATACTGTAATGCGCTTTACATTTGAACCAAACAACTATGAAAGAGCAGTAAAAAGAGAAGCATGGCCTCAGTCATAAAAGGCAGTTGTCTATGGTGTAAAAGGCATGTCACTTGTCCTGAGGCAGGTGCATCGGTGTGTGGCTTCAGTCTGTCTGCTGCTGGAGCGCCGAGCTGTTCCCTGGACACTGTATCCTCACTGTGCTCACAGTAAGTCACACTCATGCATATTACATCCTTCTGCCACAACCGACTTCTTCCACGTCTGCTCAGCTGCACCTGGGTCAAACAGACACAAAACATTTTCATTTGGCTGGATCTGGACCTGTAAAGATTTAGCTACTGAAAATGTTCAAGCTAAAGACATACAAGTTCTCAAAACTGTTTACGAGGTCAGGAGTTTTGACATGTACATATTTTTTACATTAATGCCCTCCCTGGCCAATCATTTTCAGTATGAAAAAGTACAAACATTCTCTAAAAAGACAAATTGGTCTGATTTGTTCAAAATACTCTAATCAAGCAACAGTCTGTTGGGACAAACATTCCTTTATGAAACAACAACAAGTAAGGCACTCAATCTTTAAAATGTTTGATTATTTCTCGAATGTTATTCTCATATGAAAAAGGATGGAATTGGAGATAAACGGAATGGCAAATGGCAAATGGCAAATGGAAAGGAATGTTACAATGCAAAACATATTTTATCAATCAGTACTTGGCATCGAAGTAAACATTTTCTCAATCAATTAAATGAAATGCTAAAGTACATACTAAACTAAATATGTCTCTTCCCCTGGCCTTGTGTCCTGAAAACTATCAAACAAAGCAAACAAACAATAAAGATTAAAGATATATTCTTGATTCACAGTGGGAACTACTTTGGTGCTGTAGTTTTACCATGTATTTGGTAAAATACATTTATTGTATTATTTTTTAAGTATAACAAATAAACTTGTAGTTTTTTATATTGTTTTATGGTTTGAAATCTAGGTACCCCAGCTTTAAGAGATCACAGAATATGTTGATAAGAGTGAGTGTGTACTTTTTTTTTTTCTTAACCAAAGAAACAACAGTGTCGCTGCTCAAAATTCATGACGTATGACACCATTGACCTTTTAGATTTCACCGACAGGTTGGAATGAGATGGGCCTGGGACAGAAGCACAGATGAATGAATGATTAAACGTTTGTTCATTTGTTCATCCATCTGCTCCTCTCACGATATCTCTCTGAGCAATAATACCTCCACCTCATTTGCATCTGTAAAAAATAAACTTCTAGAAAATGACACTACCTCATAGAAAACATCAAGGCAACCAAAATAGCTAAGAATAAACACATTTTTGCAGATGAAAGGAGACAATCCAGTGTTGCAGAATCTAGTTTCCAAGTTTCACATAGTCATAGCACATAATATTCTGTGGGTCTTGAAAATCAGTGAAATCATCAAAAACAGCTGGCAGTTAATGTTGCACAGTATGACTTCCTCCATGAAGGAAGTTTAATCTCAGGACAAACGGTCTCCCTCTATCAGGGAAGTTTCTCTGTATATTTCCGTTACCTCAAACTAGCTCAAAGTTTATTCATAAAGGATAGATATCTGCATTTTGCTGTTTGGGAATTTGTCTTTTGTAAATTGGATTTGTGTCTTTAATAATATCTGTTCCGACTTGAAATGGCCTTCCTAAACACTATTTCACTTTTGTCTTTCTGGTGTAGAAGAAAATGACTTTCTCTGAGATGTGACGTTATGATATTTTGTCCAGAAAGAAATGGTGACGAATATTTTATTTCTTCAAATTAATCATGTCTTTGCGTAGGCACATTTTTGCTCATTACATTTGAGGAATAATTTATCAGTCTCAGCCTAATCATCTGCAATCAACATTTGGGCATTTGTGTTGTATATTAATGCCCTGGCAACAAAAAAAACCCAAAGTTCTTAGTAATTTGCTGATGTGCTGTGAGTGGTTCTCTCAGTTTGTCGTTATACTGGAGTGTTTGGTACCTGGTCTCTGGAGAGCTTAAGAGAGCACGGACGACCCCTCTGAATCATCAGGTCTGTCAGTCACCGCAGCTCGCAATCTCAGTCTGCCAACTATTATCGGTATGAATAAAACATGGGAGAGAGTTGATTATTAAAATGAGTGTCTCCATTTTGTGCTGAGTCTATTGACAGTTATTCCCCATCATTTCCCTCCGCTTATTGTCTCCAAACTTTTAGGGCCGCATAAAGATAGCAGTTGTTTTTGCAGATTTTAATTGCACATAGAACATTACACGTTCATATAAAGCTGAACAACACATGAAATGCCTTGGGATCATTATAACGTATCAGTAGCTCTGCCCATATCATTAAAACCCTGCTATAATTGCATATGAAGCTTAAGCAGTTTTTCTCAATATATCCTGTGTACCACGGCTGCTATGCAAGTTCCATGCAGTTATTTGATTAATTCAGAGTAATACAATGTGTTTCTACGTTCTGGAATAGCCCTATGATAGCATGTCAGGATAGCATATGTTTCCAGGCTCCAGGTATGCTCATCAAATACAATGGAAAGTCACGTTGCTTGAATGACCCATTACTTTCACTTGCAAGAGAGACATTATGTTCAAATGGAAACAGGGAAATAAATGCCACTATTTAGAGCTATACAACATATCCAGAGGGATTGTCGAAGGCGAACGATGCTAAAGAGTTTTCCATTCAAATGAGGAAGCAAAGGAAAAAGCTTTTATCCGCTATGTGTGAGGAGACAAGCCAAAGCCAAGTACTCTTACTTAGATACTTACGAAAGAGTGAAAGTAAAAGTTTCAAAGTTGAGATATTTTTTGGTTTTCCTGGGTGCATATATTCTGGTCAAGCTGCTTCTTTTCACATTTATTTTTTATACTGCTCTTCATCCGGTATGATGGTGATGCCAAAAGTAGATTACCATTCAGATTTTTCAACCTGATGCAGATATTTTGGACCAGTACTTTATGTGTTTTTATCGAGGTATTTCTTATTCTCGAGGCTGTGTTGGCGAATTCGTTTTTTTAAAAGTCCTCCAAGATAACTACTGTTGTGATTTAGGGCTATACAAGAATATATTTAATTGAATTTAATATTGGTACTCCAAAGGCCATCAAAATGATTGTGGTGCTTTGTGTAGGAGGTCACTGACTCAGTCACAGATTGGGCCTGTCCTCAAAACTAAATGTTAGCCTTCATCATAATCTTAACACTTCCTCTCTCTCTGCCTCTCCAGTCCAAGCTTCATCATGCCCGCCATTGTCAACCTTCTCTTCAACGTGGTCAACACCAACACCACCATCTCGTTCCACGTTGTGCTACCCACGGTGAGCCTGGTGTCTCTGTTGGTGGGAGTAGGGGGGCACCTGCTGCTGTGGCTGGTTCTGGTGAGGAACCCGCGAAGCCGCTCCAAGCCCAGTTCAGTGCTGCTCCTGAACTTGAGCCTGGCAGACCTGGGTGCCCTGCTCACCCTGCCCTGTGTGCTGCTAAGTGCCAGCTTCCAGGACTGGCAGCTGGGAGGCGGGACCTGTGTGCTCCTGGGCTTCATGACCTCGGTGACTGTAGGAGTGGAGATCTTCAGTCTGGCTGCGCTGTCCATGCTGCGCTACAGGAATGTGGCACCGATATACAGTCCACCTGCAAGCCTCACACAAGTGTAAGTTGTGTTTTGAGAGGAGGGTTTCCAATGTATAGGTTATGTGATGATTTGTGCCTTGTGTGATGTGGACTGTGACGAGCTTTGTGTTGCCCTGTGTAGGAGAGGCGCTCTACAAAAAAAGATTGATTGATTCTATAACCATCCGGCAATGTTACGTAGGGTTTTGATGCCATTATAAATTGTATATTTGTTTGTCTTGTGATTGAAAGTTAAGATGTTTATAAGCCAAGGGCAACTATAGCAATTGAAGGTCATACTACACAAATCAAAGTAGCACCGACTGGTTCATAGCAAGTACAACAATTATTGTGGGTTCGCTCGTATGTCGACCTTTCTGTGTGGAGTTAGCATGTTTCTCCTCATGTCTACGTGGGTTTCCTCCAGTCGCTTCGGTTTCCCCCACCACACAAAACATGCAATACTAGGAACACAGTGAGTTTAGTGAATGGTGGTAGGTTGGAGGGGCCAATGGCTGGGTGCCTCACTGGGTGTGGGGTGAATGGATGTGACTTCTGTGTGCGTGTAGCCTGTAAAAAGCCTGTAAAGAGCTTTACAAGTGCAATTATTACTATTGTTATCATTAAAAAGAGGCGGGGGAGGTCAAAAATAGTAAAAAGCTCAGGATAATCCATCATTCCTTCAGGAGAGAAAGCTTTAAAAGTAGTCGTTTGGATCAGGTTTTCAGCATAGACTTTTCGACTCCCATCCAGGCATCGTTGTCTTATCTAGGGCATCTCGATATGCTAACAGCTTCTTCCCACAAGCTGTCATAAGTTTGAACAGAGCACTTTAATGATCTTGCACTTTGTATTGAAATAGTTTTAGCCGATCGTTTTCACAGTGACAATTGTTTTACTGTTTTATTTGTTTGTTTGTTTTTCTGTACTTTTAATGTTGTTTTATGTCTGTACTTGTGCACACTGGGGACTTTTGCTAATGAATTCCAATGTGGTTTTACTGCAAATGGCAAATAAATGAATCTGAATCTGATCTGATCTAAAAAAAAACACAATCTATAAGAAAAAATAATAATAATTTGAGCTCTTTTTTTTTCTGACAGACTATTTGCTGTGGTTGCCATTTGGCTAATCTCCATCACCATGGCGCTTCCCAAAGTCACCTACATAAACTTCAAAGGCGGCTGTACGTGGTCCGTCGGTCGAGATGAGTGGCTTTTCTTCCTGGTACCTGCTTTTCTGGTGTACTATGTGGCTCCTCTGTTCTGCATCGCCGTCAACTGTGGCCTCATCATCTCCCAACTCCATCGCTGTCGGGGTCCGATTGCTTCTCATCGACGCAACAAAAAAGCCACCGCGTTGTTGATTAGCTCCACTCTTGTTTTTGCCATCAGCTGGCTTCCTTATTATTCTCTGGAGTTTGTCAATGTAATGTCACCTCATGTTATCTCTGAGGCCTCTCCTGTAAGCTTCCCAGACCTTTCAGCAACTACTTCAAGCCCTCAGCAGGTCAGAACAGGAGTTTCGATGCTTTGGGAAATTTCATCTCTCACTGCAATTCTGTTAGTTTGTTTGGCGCCTTGTTGGAATCCCCCTCTTTACTTCCTGTTGTCGAGGCCAGCCGTACGTCAACTGCGAGCACTCCTGCCATCTTTTCTGACAAAGCATTTTAATAAACCAGTGCAGCATTGGCGTATAGCTCCTGCCCCTCCCCCACAAGACCCTCGCCCTCTGCCCACAACCCATTCAATGCCTTAGCAATCGCTCACACGTCTGACTCAGTAAAGTGCCCACACGGAGGAACACTTTGTAAAGACACATCCGCACATAAAGATGACTCACCAATGTGTTTCTCCGCAGCGTCTTAAGTGGGAAGATGCTTTGTTAAATGAAGGGTTCAATCATCCTTATTTTGGTGACACTTATCCTATGAGAGGTTGTTGTCTGCCAAACACACAACATTAAATCCACTGTGCGAACCCAGGTTTCTCTCTCACATGATTGTATTTGTTTTTAGTTCACATTGAGTACATGGTTAGAAAAGATGTGAGGTTACTGAAGAAAACGACACATGATGTGGAGGTCTTAAATTGTGTCTGAGCAGAAGATAGGTTTAATTGTTACACAGAATAAGAAAAAAAGTTTCCCAAGCGTCTCCTGCAACGTCAGTCAATAGATACGTTTGCTTTGACCTTTAGACGACTATAACGTTAAGTGGAAATTCATTGCTTCTGTAGACAGGTGTAAACAACTATTTAACTGTGTAATTGCAATTTGAAAACTCACCTTTTTATCAAAATAAGGATTTCCCCTTTCCACTTTAGCTCAGAAAATGTTCACCACACACAACTTATGGCAATCAGCCATAAGTTGAGTTAGAGCGGTGGGTCCAAAGGAAGCAGGCTTCTCCGTCATCAACGAGATGGCCTTGGTCTTTCAGCAGGGGCTTCAGGCAATGTGGGGTTAAGTGTCTTGCCCAGGGACACAACGACAGCACACATCATAATAATAATAATAAATGATAATGCAATTTTTTTATAGCGCTTTTTTAGACACTGCCCTGGGGCACATTGACAGACAGTAATAGTTACACTACATGCTGAAAGACTGTACTGACGAAGAATATTGAAGTTTGTGATATGTTTATTTCAGGTGGCTTAGTTGAGTAACATTGATCATAAACCTTTTCAACCCAAAAGATCATTTTGCCAGATTCATACAGTGATGTCAGAGTAAATTCAAGCTATACAGTATACTACATTATGTAAGAGGCGGTCTGCTGGAGATTTAGTGCAAACAAAGTGTGTTTCTTAACTACATCCGCTCTGCTCCTGGCAACATAATGTGACTCTTATCCCTATGTGATGTAGGGTGATACAAACAAAATGCTCAATAAGGTCATAAAACTCTAGCCAATACCACGGTCACCATTTGCTTAGCACAAACATATTCTGCATGGCCACTATCAAAGAGTAGATGATTATTCGAAATTCCAGGCCAGTGAACTCAAACTCCCAGATGAGACCAACCCTGCGATCTCGGCTGCCATTTGGACACAGAAAAGGTCATTCTGACTGAAATGACCCATCAGAGCAAACATAAATCAAAGTCCCGATGGAGCATCCCCATCTGCAATAAAACCGATTAAGTACCGTTTACTTGCACTGTAGTTCTGGAGCATCAATACACAGCATCTAAGATTAGCTGTAACCTTATTACGAAGCTCTCCAACCATATAACATGACGATCTTTGTTCATTATGGGCCATTATGAAAAACAACAATTCGATTGTTTTTTAATGACACATGTTTATATGTAATCATTGAGTTTGATAATCAGATACAAGCCTGAGGTTGGACTTTCAGGTGATAGCGATTGCATGGAATAAATGTATGTTATTGGTACATGTCTGTATCATGGATCTATAATAATAACTGGATAGGGTATTACTAGCTTACAGCTGTCCCACCCATGAACACAGGGGGTGCCTGTGGTAGTGCAGACTAAATTCACGAGGGCTACCCAGAAAAAAGTCCCATAGAGCTCATGTAAATTAGAACAGCTCGACCTCAGCTGACAGAGAACCTACAGCTTTTATAAAGATCGGATTTTGTGGGGATTTTAGTGTCCCTTACCATCCTGAACTTTTTTTCTTCTTAAATCCTTCAGTTTTCTTTAAATCTTTTCTTCCTGAGCAGCGCTGATTGGTCAGAGCGCGGGCAAGCCCCTCTGTGCACGTGCATGAAAGCCACACACGCGTATTTGGCGCGACGCATCATGGGAGATAATCCACCGCGCAGAACCAGGAGGACCAGACAATGCCCAAATATAGGCGAGTTCAGCTAATCTCCCGGTCCCCGTGAAGTCCCATGCGCTACTGAGCTCAAGCCATTCATTTGAATAGGGCGCCATCTTGGATCACCGGGGCTTGGGTCTATGTACAGTTGTTCCTATCCTGGGAAAGTAAGTAAGTCATCTTTATTTAGTGCATTTCACAGACCAAAGTCACAAAATGCGCGTTAGAATGTTTGTGTAGCAGCAATTCCCATGCACTCCCCACGCGGTCATGACCGAAGTGAGACAGCAAACACACTGGCGCACCAAGGACCCTGACCACTGCCATCCTTTCCCTCTCTAATTACACTCAGACCTATTGTGCAAGTTTTCAGTGGAAACCGGAGCACCCAAAGGAAACCGGAGTAAACACGCAAAGGCCCTGTCTGGTAGTGGAATTGAACTCAGGACCCGCTTGGTGTGAAGTCTTAAGTAATAATCACTGTGCCACTGTGTCGAAAGCCATATTCCGGAAGTATAGTTCCTTGAGATGCAGGACACACCGTTTCTTCCCACAAGCTGTTATTCATCTGAACAGAACATTTTAATTGGTTCGATCTAGCCAAGACAAAGGTAGACTGAGGCACTCTGTATGTAAAACAACTCTTTCTAAAACTTTCCATTGTCTTTTTACTTCTCAAATGAACACATTGCAAGTTTTTTTTGCAAGGCTATCACAGTATTTCTTCACATATTTTGTTCTTCCTTTGAACACTCACAATTTGTGATGTTTTCAATATTGTGCTGTTGTTTTTGTTGTCTAATGTGCATACTGGGTTTATTTATTATGAACCAGTGTTTTACGTTCTATTTCTTGTGTTTGAACTGTTTGATTCTCTGATCTGTGTTGGCAAATTCAACGGTTGTGTTCAGTCCCCCGAGATAACTGCTGTTGTGGTTTAGGGCCATACAAGAATTAATGGAATTGAATTGAAATTTAATCATTTTTAACTAATATTCCGACATCGGTTTTTTGTTTTTTTTTCTCTGCAAAAGCCATATATATAATTTAATTACGTGACAATAGAAACTATGGCCATTTTTCAGGATATAAAGTTTTGTGCAAATTTGTAACATTCTGGTTGGATGACAAAACAAAATCATCCTTGTATGTCCTCTTATCTGTAAAATCAGGTCACTCTCAATCTCATAAGCTCTTTGGCAACCACTGCATCAAACTACAATGTCATCTATGTATTCCTGTGTGTAGAGAGATTTGTTGACTTATGACATGCAATAAAAGATAGTATCTTGCTCGCATTCACCTGGATTTAAACACAATCACATCAGAAAAGAGTGGCATGAGACAATTTGGTTGTAACAAGTCAAGGCCACCCCTGACAGTGATCGAAGGCGTGCGTAGAGCTCTCAGTCGCGAGGATCGACAGCATAATAAACTAGGAGCAAAGCTGTAATTGGATTTTTTTGTTGTCGAGCTGTGAGACGATCTGAATCCTTATTTAAATGTTTTTACAAGTTTTGCATTATTCAAGTTGTCAAATGTTCTACTCCTCTGTTGCATGAAAATATGTACGTTTTACCACATTTCCAGCTTGTGATTGAGAGCCGCATGACTTTGATTAATGCGCCATGGGTTCACTGACCTTGCTTGCACTGTTATTGGCATCCAATTGCTCTGCTTACTCTACGACCTTTTGACATTTACCAGTCAGCACCCATGAGTGTTCCAATCCCATGTGGGGTTGTATCTGTTAACATGGCGCACCCTTTTAGTTTTGTTCTTGTCTCTGCTTTCTCTGTGCCTTATTAGACCACTTATCTCTGTCACATGTCTGCGCTCTGATCCGTCTCGCACCGCAGGGCCATTACATCCTGACAAGACTTAATTAAGACTTGAGATTAGCCCCGGATCAAAATATAAGGCTGCATCGTGATAGAAAGGTTTCTTCCATGGGTGCACACTGCGTTGGCTTTGTGCATGTGACAGACAGGCGACGGGTGCAGCCCTGAGAGGTGCTGATCTAGGGAGAGATTAATGTCCATGTGGCTGGCAAGATGCTTATAATAGTTTTTTCTTCCTCAGAAAGAAGCAAGATATATTGATTCTGCTTGTGATGAAATGCTTTAAGGCCTTAAAGTCCTACCTGAATGAGTTCCAAGGGACAATGTAATCATAGCGGCAATGGTTGTGAGCTGTGATGTCAAAAATGTTGAAATATTACATTTATAATACTGACATATTGTAGATACAGTATGTGACAGAAGACCTAAAATGTAACACTTTCCCTTCATGAAAATGTGGAATTCTTATACATTTAAGTGAAATGTGTGACATGTAAACAACAATACTCTGCTGTGGGCTTTGCTTGGTGCGAGATTGATGAGGTGTTTTGTGGAGCTGAGCCTGGCAGAAGGTCTGGTAAAGTTAAACCGACTGATTTCCCAGATGAGATAAAGAGTGGACGTGGTTCTGTTTTTAATTCAGGTTTCCTCTCAAATTAAAAGAGGTGGGGCTGTGCATTTTCTATAAAGTTTTCTCCACTCGCTGCAAAAGCTGATTATAAATTACTGGAAGAATGTATTCGGAGGTTCTTTAAGAATCCATACTTTAACCAAGCTCTTAAAATAATAAATGACTCTTCTGGCCCCTGGAAAAGCCATGTTCCAGCTTCTTCCTTCTGGCAGAAGATCTCATTATACTAAACTTGCTTCTGTCCACAAGATGTTGTGATAATGATATTGCACTTATATTGAAACCATGACATGTATTGTCATTTTTGACTTGTTTTATTCTAAATATTTGCTTGGTGCTCACTGGGGTACTTTTGCACGTGTATTCTAATGTGGTTTTACTGCAAATGGTTGTATCTTTATTATGTTTCGGCCAGCATTGTTCATTCCTGTATTGAATTAAAAGCCACAACCAACTCTCATCCATGTGTTTTACTATTACTATAAGCCAAACAGCAAATACTTCTACTTCTTCACCTTGTATCCAACTGAGAGTCACCATTCCTTATCAAGCAGGCAATCCACACTTATTTTAACTCCCCCTAGCGGTTACTGTGTGCCACAACACGTGTAAACCAAAACAGTTTCAGACACATCAGACCGCGAGTGTTTGAATAGCAGCCTTTCTTAACAATTCTATGACAATATTATAAGCAAAATAAAATAAAAATAGAACACCTCTTGCTTCACTCACTTCTCCAAGCACTGCTGGCTTCTTACAAAAGGACGCACCCCCTTCACGTACAAACGAAAGGAGAGCGAGGAGAGGAGGGGAAGAGGGAGATAGAGAGAGAGAGAGAGAGATAGAGGGGGGAGCGGTGCAGGTGCTGGAGCTGGAGGTGGGAACGAAAGGCACTGGGACATCCACGGACGCGCGCAGGGACAGACGCGCCGGGCAGCTGATGTGCGCTCCTAATCTCCACGCATCCAACCACAAGTCCGCACCACGCCGAGACGCAGGTGTAGCAGCCTCCTCAGCCCTCCCTTTACTACAACTACCTCCTGTCATTGTCCATGCACCCGCAGATCCACTCGCTCAGCCGCCTCCTCATCCACCACCACCACCACCTCCTCTTCTTCCTCTTCTGCAGGCGCCTCAAGCGGATTGTCTCTGTCTGATAGTCACGGGGAAATTGCACTGAGCGGTGATGCTGTTGAGAAAAACGTGCTCTTTGTTTATGGGCTGGTCTAAGCTGTTTGTGCGGGTGTAAATGCGTGCATACAGGAGCTACAGCCAGCACAGATGACCTGAAGCAGGGAGGGAAAGGCGGTTCCAACTACAGCACTTGTTCCATTAAGAGAAAGACCTTTTTATCACCATGACTGACCAGGTAAGTAGCCACACTCTCATATATACACACACACACATACACACTAAAGCGCTCCTATTATGTCTTGGCTATTTCTCTCTCCTATTCTTTGCTTGACAGTGACCATAAGTTGAAATGATTGTATTTTGTTTATCATTACAATGAATGAATCCATTTGGGGGTGCTATATTCTTCCTTTGACTCTGCTGTTGGATCAATAGGCTTCCATTTGTGTCCAGGTATCATTCAGAAAGACATATATATTAAAATTAAGATCAACTATGTTTAAAGAATACATCTATGTACCGTATTTTTTTTGGATTATAAGTCGCAGTTTTTGTCATAGTTTGACCAGGGGTGAGACTTATACTCTGGACGGACTTATGTTTGAAATCATTAAATTGTATATTTACATTTTATTTTATTCATCATAAAATCTCAAATAATACCCCAGCCTATTAAGTTGAGCAATTAAGAAGAACCATACATGTATCATTACATCTTTCAGTTTTCTATTTGTATTTCCATATGTGTTTTGGTCATCAAAACCTACAAGCTGTATAAAAATGCGACTTATATACGTATATGTTTTTTTTGGTTTTTTATTATGCATTTTTGGCTGGTGCGACTAAAACTCTGGAGCGACTTATGATCCGAAAAATACAGTAAACGCTGTCAACCCCGGCACTAAACATCCTATCACTCTAAATACTAACCTAAATATAAGTGTTCATGCTATTATACTAGTGTAGAATTCTATATAGAAATCAAATGAAGGCATGAATGCTGTATTTCAGGGCTTCATATTATTGTATATGTGGTGTGAGCACAACAGTTTGAAGATTCAAACTAAAAGAGTTGAATGAGAAAATTCTGTCTTTATAATGACATAACTTTAGATTAACAGAACAGAACACACAATGGAACATTTCATCGCTAACTGCCCAATCAATAATGCATTAGTCTTAATATAGGCAGTTATCTAAATTGGGTTGTAATGATCCGTTCAGGACACGTCATTCCTAAAAGATCATTTCAACTCATCCTCTGTGGTTGGAAAGCGCAACTGCCTGTTGTAAAGTGATCTGCATTGCCCAAGACCAGATAGAAACATAGTCTTCATAATTAAATTTGTATAGCAGCAGTAGTTTGGCTCAGTTGTAAAGCCTATGAGAACGGCAGATTAACCCCTGACACAGGATTTCAAGCTGTGTTTAGGTCTTCTCTGTCTCCGCATGTACTCCTCCCTTGAGCCAGCCGACAATAAAGGCCATGCGTAATTGATGAACTCTTTCAATTAACTTAATTGAGGAACGTGAAACCACCAGATACACTGTTGAATAAAATCATAAGTGTGTCTCAGAGCGGCTGTCTGGGTTGGAGCGACACACCCAACTGACACTCCAAGGCTTTTTCCCCCTGATTTGCCTGATTGCTGTAGTTAAGGAAAAACATTGCAATCCCTAATGGCCATTTACAGATAATTATGGTCTATTTAGTACTATAACAACTTTTGGGAAAACTCCAGTTTATACAGCGACATCAAATGAATGTTGATGCATTGTTCCAAACCTGATTTATGAGAAAGAATGAGCTCTCTTTTGCAATTTCACTTTCTACATTGTTGCGGCGATGCTTTCATCTTCATAATATAGTATCCCCTGACACCAATTCTAATATAGTATCCCCTGACACAGATATGACTGCTGAGCTACACTGCCCTGTGGTGATCACATTATTGTGTTATGTGTTCTAGTTAGTCTTTATAATGAACTCTCATTACTCCATTCAGCGTAACACAAAGTGAGAAATCAGTCCACACACACACTCATGTGTACCGAGCCCTGGGGTGCTGCAGCTGGAAGTGTATTAATTGCCGTATTAATATTGATGAAGGTTGTCTTGTGCTGACCTGTTGTAGCTTCACACCGCTCTGCCAAACACACGATCACTTGTTTTTTGTTTTTTTTTACCATAATATAGTGGAAGCATTGAGTAGAGTTATAAAGCATTTGTGCAGTTGTGGCCTTGACCTATTTGTGTGTGAATTCATGCTTCGATACAATATGCAGCATGTTGTGATGTAGTTTCTGAGTGGCATACTGCGCCCAGCTGGTAGCTTACTGCTGCTGTCCCACCCAACTATTCATGCTCCACTGGCACCATTGTCCCTCCTCTTAAAGAAGATGATATATGTGTTTTTAACATTTGGTAAACTAAATGGATTATGATTTTTTTTCTTTTTTTGATTATATACTGAAAAATTGGTCTGAAATGATTCACAGTTCAGTATAATCCCACAGTAGCAGGCATCAGATATTCATGTATGTATTGTTGAAATATTAGCATGTATATTAGTCACGATAATCTCAAGTGAGAACAGTAATGTGAGCAAAAAAAGGGGCACGTGAAAGTACCATAGATAACTGTTTTATAAGATGAATCAATAGTATAAACAAGAGTGGTATCAGTACAGCTAATGTATGCAGTATTTTGTATATATGTATAGTATAGTCATTGCGTTATGGGGTTGTCCTATAAAGTATATATTTTTATAACCACTGCAGTTGTTCAGACCAACCTCTCACCTTTTAATAAGTTCCCACTCAGACAGCTTCCCTTTGACACACAGAGCATCTTCATCAGGGTCTTCATCAGGGTCTTTGCGGTGTCTGCCTCACCTCCCCTCACACGCACACCTCCCCTCACATGCACACACCCCTCCCCCCTTGTTATCCACTGATAACATTTGCCTGTCAAGTGTATAGTACAGCAGCAGGGTGGTTTTAGTCCCCACCCCCAGAGTCTCTGTAATAACAGAGGCACATTATACATTATTGAGGCCGATTATATTGAATATGGACCGCTGTAAATGACATTGTTTTGTGATTTGGGAAATGGTATTGAAATAAATGTAATACATTTTAAGAATACACAGTCCCTTTCCACATACTGTATTACTCATCTCCTAATTATGCATGGCAACAAGTTGATTTTCGCAGCTTCCAGAGACTAAAGCGCAGTTGGATAGTCACAGCAAGAGTTAGCTGCACGACACTTCTTAACATTTAAATCTTGTTTAATACTAATAAACATGCATATAAAAACTACACTATAAGCTAGTTTGAAGTGACACTAAATTACTTGCTTACAAGACACAGGGGCACTCACTCATTTACATTGACATTCATATGTATTTATTGATATTGAAGCATTTACAGCTAGCTACATAGAAACATAACAGCTACGGATATTGTATATTTTGTGTGCTCCCTGTGTGCTCTTACTGTCCTGTATGTGCGCCTCAACATTGAAATTTCTTAATTCTTATTCCTATTTTTATCCTTAACTTACATCACATAAATTGCATACAGGGTCAAATGTCAATGATGTTTTTGTGTGTCTCAGTACGACTAACATGTGTATTCCTTTGTGTTTCAGTACAGTATGTTTTTGACCACGGCCCCTCCCCTGCGCAGAGGCAGCACACCTTTACCTGTGAAGCACCAGCTGCGGCGAGAGGAGGCGGTGTCTGAGGACTGTGACTGGATCCCGGGTCTGGAGCAGCCCGTCACTCTGCCCATTACTGAAACAGCGGCGCCTGGAGGGGACTCATGTGGCCCCGCTGCCCCGTCCACTTACCACAGCCATGGAGGAGCTCTGCGCTTAGTGCTGCTGGGGCAGAACGGCGTGGGCAAATCCTCTCTGGCCTTATCTCTGGCAGGACAGTCGGACCGCTCTCTCTCCATAGACTCGGAGTCACAGGCATGCGGTAATGGTCCACACTGGGAGCCACTTACTCTGACTGCATGCACCACTGGGAGAAGATCTATTTTAATTATTCTGATTATCGTCAAGTAGCAGTACATTCTCCATTCATTATTTAAGTGAATTCAAATGGAACTTTTGAAAAAATGGTGACATAAACATTTGTAATGATTCAGGTCACAGTAAGTAATAGGTTTATGCACTAAAACTTTATTTATAGAACATAAAGCACATTAGGCCTTTTTATTTACTTCTATTTTATTTATTTATTTAAACATAAGGCTGGCAAACTTGCATGTGTTGATTTTTATCTCTGTGCGGCACTTTGGAAACTTGTTTTATAGAATGTGCTGTATAAATTAAGTGGATTGGATTTACACCAACAGCAGTGGCTCAAAGTACTTTACGTGCAGAGACGTAACAAATAAAATAATACAAATATTTGTTTTATTATTGAAACAAGTCACGTTGTTTTTTTAGGTGTCAATAACCAGAAACTATTTGTGACATTAGGACGACCATTGATTGCAATTTAGAGAAATCCATGAACACAAATGAACCCTGACTTCACAAACGGACCAACAGTACGGGGATTTTGGGGAAAACGTACTCTTGAAAACTGAACTGAATTCTTGAAAGAACAGAACAATTGAAAAGGGCATTTTGAGTCCATCTGTACATTACGTTGTACGATGAATGTACAGTATGTCCATGAAATATACATCAGGCTGTACATGGCCACATTAAGCGACATCATGTTTTCATCGCGTTCATTCAGTGGAGGCTCCATGCTTTATTTAACTATGGTCTATTCTGGGACGGTGAGAGCGAATGCAGGGGAATGCTCTGTGACACCTTTTCTATTATCACCTCTGTAGACATGCGCAGCTCGGAGCATCTGTTTTAGAGCCACATTAGCCACATGGCAAAACTCACGCTGCCAGGAAATGAGCTTTTGTCTGGGAAGGACGTTTTTCATGAACTCCTCAAAAATGACTTTCTGTGCTTGCCTGGGTTTTAAGTAAGTGACAGCTCTCTCAAAGACTGTACAGATTTAATCTACAGTAGATTTGCTCACTCATTTCTGTACAATAGTGTTTGTCAAACACATCTGATCAAGCTTGGCTTACCGTCTCTGCTTCAAGTTTACTAAGGCAGCGCTGAAGGACAGTAGGGCCCCGAGTCACTGGTCTGTAGTGGATTGTAGTCAGGGCCTGTCTCGATATGCCCATGCTGCTGTGTGCGCTCATATCATTTAAATTCACTTATGATATTTTCAATTTAATTTAATGTATTCATTTACTTCAGGCAATGGCACAGGTAAGACAAGGTAAACAAATACAGGCAAGTAATAGAGTGCAAAAAGATAAAAATAAGGATAAAAAGTGAACGTACAGTACATACTGCATGTACAGTATATTTAGTCTCCATAACTACTTTTAACTTGAATTTATCAATTTATTTAAAAGAAATGTGCTCCAAGAACAATATTATATACAGCCTGAATCCAGTCAAAACAGTTAAACAATACCAAGAAGGCCACTGGTGAACGTGAGTGGCCTTCTTTCTAAAAATGTTGGACACACCTGCTGTACAGTTACAACTGGATTGTTCCTCAAAGACAACAGCAAAAAATATGTCACTATTGCAACAAAACATCTTGTTTGATCCATCAGTCATTGAGCGATGAGCCAATATACTAAGCATTATGACAGGTCTGATATAATCCCACATTAGACGTTATCTTCTGTCATTAAGCGTCATCACGCTGACGTCAGTCTGATGTGTGCCGTGCATCTTTGCAGGTGAAGGGTATGAGTCCTCGGTTACCGTGGACGACGAGGACAGCAAACTCATTGTTTACGACAACTGGAAACAGGTGAGAAACACAAATGCAGATTGTGCGCCTTATGTGGTCTTCTGTGGCTGATGCACAGCTTTCAGTGAACCTGTCACTACTTTAGAGAGCGCCAAGTAAATATTAGACCTTTGTGCTTTGACTTGTGCAAACTCATTAAGAGCGGTCATCTGAGAGATATCTAAATGTATGTCTTTGCGTCTGATTGGAACGCTGTCAGGGAAAGTGGCTTTCAAACTTTATCCACATTAAGTTTTGGAATGACATCTTCAGACTGGAGAATGAAAAAAACAGAGATGACTTAAACGTAACAGTACAAACCGCTGGAACAATACAATCCTTTTCCAACTTGACTCTTTAAGCCACAAAACCACTCACCATAAAACCAAGACATACAGTACAAAGTTATGTTCAACAAACAACACAACCTTTATGATTTATATTTTGACTTTTCACTGCTGGTGAATTGAGACTAATTAACCACCGTAATGTGTATTTTATTTTTTGGCTGAATGAAACCAGTTCACGTAGAGGCTGTTGAAAAAATAGCAAAACTTTAGGCAGTTCGACTCGACAGTGCTCTGAGGTCAGTGCACTACAACACACATATTTTATTTATATAGCACATTTCATACAGGACTGAAACTCAATGTGCTTTATGTAGAAACAATACAATGATACAAATGGGGTGAAGTTTACTTTTAAATTAGCTCTGGGTCAAAGCATATTTAATCATTTTTATGTGTGTTGTGTTAGTTTATTCAACATCTGTAGGGGCCAAATCTGGTTTTAGTTCTTTCATATTTGACATCAGTAATGGAACGATGAATCCAAAAATGTCATCAGTTATGCATCATCAATCCTTTGAGCTGAACGAGAGTGACTTAATTCCACCATGGCATTCTTTTTAGTTTATTCTGCAGCAAAGAGCCAACTGGAACATTTCAGACATAGCTCCATACTGGGACACTGTCGGCATTTGGAGATTTAATTTTTTTATTCTGTGTGCAAAGATCTTAATTAGTGTGAAGGGCAGCACATTCCTTTCACTCGCACTCCCAGATGTCCACTGGACTGCGGGCCCTGCCCCACGAGGTTAAATTATTCACACACTGTTCTATTTAGCTCAAGGGAACCATGCCTGAAAACCCTTGACTTTTTTGTGGACATATTTTTCCGATTCACTGCCTCTGTCCTGCAGCTCCCTCTCTCATCTATAGCCTTTCACTGGCTGCTCTCTGACTCCAGCCTCATTCCGCTGTTCCCTTTTTGTGGCGTATAAATCATATTCGGGTTAATTACATTTGTTATTCTCTGCATGCTAATACAACTTGGTGCATGCAGGCGACACACGCAGAGCAGTGGGGGACTCAGAGTCGCTCGTGCATGTGTTTTGTGGTGAGTTGGAGTCCCATCTCATCTGATAAACACTGCTTTTGTGTTTGCGTCTCAAGTTGAAAAAACAGCAAAGTATCAAGCATCAAGCACAATGATATTGTATGAATGTTTCATTTTGGCAATTTGACTCAGTTATACTAGCCTGATGCATTTTTATTTCACCAGTTTTATTTTTGCCAGTTTTATTTCACTTTGTGGAATCTCATAGCTGAAGTGAACCACGGTGACAAATTTCTTAAACTTACAATTTGAACCTTCCTCCAAACCTTTCCATTTAGAAATTTAGAAAAAACTGTTTTTCCCTATCTATACTGCAGCCAAGCTTGTAGTTTGTTGTGTTTGTGTTCGAGATTTTTATTTCAGTTAGAGGACAGGTGCCATTAAAAAAACAAAAAAAAGGTTTTTTTGGTGATTAGATTCACAAACCTGCCATATTGGCCAACATCATGCAAATGTTGTTGCATATTGTTACCACTTCTAATTATCTTTATAACAAGATGATATGACCATAGTTCTGACAAAGATCTGGAACTTAAACACTTTAACAGTTTCCAGGAAAGATTATTCATCTGCCCTCTCCCCCAGTTTTAAACCATAGTCTCTTTGGAATGTTGTAGTCTCACATGAATGCACCTTTTTGGCAAATATTATTCTAATACAATCTAGATACAAGAAATATATCTGTTCAGTGTGTGCGGTGTTGTGCGGTCCCTGTTGGTCCCTGGAGGAGGGATAAGGTCTTCTGGCCTTGTGGAGAGCTGTGAGTATTCTCTATGGGAGACCTTAACCTATACGCCACACATTTCCATGGCAACCCACATCGACATCCACGTACGCTGTCACACAGGACAACGTCATCAGTCACTCACAAACACACATCCGATACTCCCTGGTCCCTGTACTCTCTCCAGACTTAAGTCAGTGTGTTGCTGCTGCAGCAGGAGGTGTTAGCACGAACGCACACTGTTAAACTCTATTAGCATTAGGTCTCCAAACTTCTTTTCTGGAGAGCTACCTCCTCAGAACGAAAATGACTAAAAAAAACAACAAATTGTTGCTATAGTATTGGGTAGTTTATGTGTTTAAAGCCTTGTATGACCATTATAGAACTTAATAATTGCTGTTTTGGCCTGGTTTAGATCTCAAGTGGTTTGTGAATGGTTTGAGAACCACTGCTTAATCCTACCCCCAAAGTGATTTTTATGTATTTTAGAAATACATTTTTGTCAATGTGTTGTTTTTTCTTTCACATTGATATACATTGCTGTCATAGTTGTCTTTTTTTACTTTTTCACTTCCTACATAGACAGTCAGTAGATACAGTATGAAGCGAACATTGGGTTTGCTTCATACTTGTGGTATTTGCAAGTTAAATATTTGTATTGCAAAGATGAGCAATAATTTTATCTATGAATTATGTGGTTTTTTATATGTTTACTTTGCTCTTTGCTCTACTAAAGCCTCACACTCTCTTGATAGAGTTTCTGGAAAGAACATGGATTTCTTTGGAGAAAGAAGATATCACTATATACTGTATATTGTTATCGCAGTCTCTGACACCACTCATTTCCAATGCCGTGCAGCCGTTAATAAAGTAGCATCAGACCCTTCTTTTTTATATTGTGTATTGTGACACGGTGAACCCAGTGTTACTCCAGGCTCAGAGACTGAAGTCTGCTCATCCAGACACGGCTCTGTGTAAGTGTTGTTGACGTCATGGTAGTTTTAATAAGTCATTCCTGATCCCAGAATAGAAACACTTGCACATTTGCCATGACTGTATCAGCGATGCAGTCTTCAGACCAGCCCATTCGTGGGATTTTTTGTTTTACGTAAGAACAGAAGGCTACAATTGTGCAGAGATGGAGGTCACCACAGACCAGCATGGTACGGAAGCCTCTCCTCACTTTGGATTCCCTTGTATGTGCATGTGCTTTCATATACAGAGTGTTTCTGTCAGGAGCAAGACTGAAACTTATCATTATTATTTTATACAGTTAAAGTTAAAAATTCATTAAAGACAAGTGGAAGGTGTAGCCTGGAGCCTGCAAATGTAGGCCAAGCAATATGTCTGTGGCTGTTATCAGGGTGAGTTCACAGCTGCCCCTGAGGATTTTTTATTTATTTTTTTTATCTTGGAGAAAATTAGATAAAGAATCCAGGATGCAATTTGCTGAGGCATAATTGCAGCTTGGCCACATTCCTTAGAACAGCATTGTATTTCTTAGAATGCTGTCAATGTCTATTCTACTTTGTTTTTGACAGTAAAAACCAAGAATCCAATTGAAATCGATCAGGCTCTCATTTAATTCAACTTTTTAAACAAATAAAATATGAAACAGAAGCTTGGTAACTCTTCAAAACATCGACAAAGACCTAAACCGGGGATGACAACCATTTGTGTCTCATAGCCGCACTCCAGATGATAAAGCAACTAATCCAGTTTTACATTATGGATTAATCAACCTTGATACATCTGTCATCTCCCGCAGAATCTGTCTTAAAGAGTCATTTTTGGTGCGTTCCCAGGTAATAGGTCATTATGCACAAATCACATCTGACCTTTTCTGAACAAAAGTTTAAAGTGGACCCATTCCTAATGAAAAAGGCAATTCACATGATGCCCTGGATATTTCTGTTTACAAGCAGATCCTCCAATCTGATATCAGAATGAGTAAATCATTTGGGTTGCCAGTTTGGTAGGAGAAATATTTCCTATGAGCTGTCATACATAATATACAGAGTTTGTACTGTTAATTGCTAAACCCCAGCCGGTGGATTCAATCAGCAATCAGTGTTTAGGAGTTACATGAGGAAGTACATGATTCTGGCAACAAAAGTTGGATTGTAATTGAAACTTTATTAGACCACTATGAGTGCATTTAGATTAAGATTGATTTTATTTACCATTTGCATTAAAACCATATTGGAATACATTTGCTAAAGTCCCCAGTGTACACAGGACAACTACATAAATAAACAAGGTTAAAAGTACAGGCATAAAACAAACTGCTTCATCGGTCTTTTCTTTTTCTATTCAACATGTATGAGCTTTATTTACTGCACATTATGTGTATATGTTTATATTTAATAAAGTTGTTTGTTTTCAGTAAAGTGGGTCATGGTGAAACATATCTTGTCCTGGAGCTTAGTGCAGTTTTATCCTGTTTTTGGAGGTCAGAGGTGCAGAGTGCGGCCGCTCCAGATGTGGATGCAGATGTTCACTTATGAGTCTCACATGTGGGTCACGTCAGGGCCCTCCCCCAGCATGTCTCACAGGTTGACATCACAGTCATTTACATGTGGGTGATGTAAACACATTATTATGATATTGTTTGTTTGTATTATGAGGGGGACGACCTCAAACAGTCCACAGTACTTTGGAAATTCAAATCTAAATACAAAGAAATTATATTAATGAGATACAAATTAGATGAAATGTTCTAAATAGTGTTAGGTTCCAACTTAAAAACAAAAGTAGACTAAGAGAATATAGGTCTATTTTATTGTCTTATACAAGCATTATATGTGTGTCGATTGTGCGTGTTAGTATATATGTATGTGTACATGTATATGGATGTGTGTGTATGTATATATGTACGTGTACTCAGGTATATTTAAAT